TGTCTTGCCGGGACGTCATCAAGTGGATTTAAGAAGATATTATACCAATAGTAATTCCATTTAATTTAATATAAAATTTTTAAACATAGGAATTACTATATGTTGTTACAATAATCTATATTACTTTTGTACAAAGAATTTTCAAATAGAATGAACAATAACTATAGTTAAATAAAAATAACTATACATGTCCATATCTAATAGATGAAAATTAGTATACAATCAAAGATTTCTATCACATAGAGGGTGAATATAACTATCACATTACCAGGTAATTCGATGTTGCTGAATAAATCTTATCAAGTAGCACAAGTACTAGTATAAGAGATCCAAATAAAATAATTTGAATCAATACATAATACTATATCTACTATTGGGTTATAGCAGAATCACCAAAAGACGGTGAGTATAAGATAAGATATTTGAATTCGAAGCTACTTACGACGATCGTTTCGAATGGGGATTAATCCATTCATCATCAGGTAAATTCCGAATTCGATCATACATGTGACTTACAAATCTATCAACAGAAGTTGATGAAAGCTATCTCGAAAGATAACTTCTAACTATCTTCCTATAACAGAAAAGTAAATCCGTCGTAGGTCAACCTTACAGATGAGTATAAGATAGGATATTTGAATTCGAAACGATCGTCGCAGGTAGCTTCGAATTCAAATTCTTCTATCTTATACTCGCCCTCAGCCACCCTCACTCTCACCCACACCCATACACACCCTCACCTCTGTTTATATATTAAATGTTGGAAGAGATATATAAATATCTTGCCATATTAATGTATGAAATTAATGCAGTGCTAAACCTACCTGAGGATTGACTCTTGAGAAAGGTCGAAACTGTAGTCGTAGGATTCTTAAACATAATATTCAGCAAGGACGAAATCAGGATAACGATAGTTAGACTCATCCCTCACCCTCACCCTTTCTTTTATTCTATGTTTAGAGGTTTTGAAACCTTTCGAGCATAGTATATTATGTCTTTTTGAAAGTTTCGACTTCATCGATTAGACATAGTAGGAGAGTTTATATTAACATCCTTTGAATCAGTAGCAATTGACAAGATTCAATAAGCATCTATCGCAACGCGTTTTGCTAGCTTGGGATTGTTTTCATATCTGCAATCTCCTCACACCCTCCAAATTTCATTCAAATGAAAGAAAAAAGAAGACTTGAGAATAATGGAAACTTTCTTTATTTCAAATTGATTATCATGTCTCGGTTAGTCAAAAGAATTTAGCGTCAGATTAAAAAGAGAACCCCTCCACCAGATTGGTCCGAATAATTCTTGATTACAATGAACGAAGTGAAGATTTGTTCGGCTACGCTGTAGGCTCCGGTTCACGTTGCTCCAATTGGATCAATCGTAATTTGCCTGAATCAATCAACACTGCTGCTGCTAGATTATTTTTTTCGCAATAGCGAGACGAAGAGAAGACCGTCAAAAGACGACCATTTAATTGAATCTGAAATTCGACGTCGTGGAGAATATCCGAGGTCTGTTCAAATCGACTTACTTTGAAACCTGCTTCTTGAACTTGATGTGCACGTACAACATAAGTAAACTGATTTCGATCGAGAAAGGCCATCAATGCTTCACAGGTGAAATATTTCGCTGTGCCTCGTTGATCATTATAGAAGAAATCGTTGCTACATGCGTTCTGCGTGCCTATTGGATCATCATCAAAAAATATCAAAATATTCAAAAATATATCGACGGAAAAATATCAACGAGCAAAATATCGAAATGTTCAAACCGTGATTCAAGACTCAAATCAGAAGTTAATGGGAAAAATAAACATGTGGAAACGAGTTTATTCCATTCTAGCCTACCCTCACTTCCTCAGTTTGATGCATAACAATTATTATTCGATATTTTTCCCTTGCACATCTTTCTTATCGACATGCTTTTCTCGATATCTTTTGCATCGAGAAGCTTTTTTTCAGTGTTTTCAAATCATACCAGAAGTATCTCCAGATTTTGGATCATTCCACATCAATTGCCAAGCTAAATCCGATTGCTTTTCCGGTGCATACAGTGGTATAGGAATGCGATTCACTGTGGAAATAAAATCTCCTGGGCACGAAGTGGGACTAGGAATGCCACCGTGAACACAAAGAATCTAAATGATCGATCCAGCAGAATGAAGAAGAAATGAAGAGACAAATCTACTTGATCGTCGATGACAGCAGCCAATGGTAAAACATCGAAGACCGAATTGATCGTCTCCCACACTTTGTTGCCTTCAGTTTCTTGAAATCTAAGTATACATTCTCTGGCAAACGAAGGTTTTTCTGCAAAGAGAGATTCAATTTTTTCTCACCGATGAAAAGTAAAAGCCTTTTGAACATTGCGCACTTCATGATTTCCACGAAGAAGGAAGACTTTCTTGGGACATAAGTATTTCATAGCAAATAAATAGAGCACAACCTAGAAGAGATCGATAGTATTTCCTTGTGGAACGAATCGGTCTCATACTTCAAGTCCATGTTTTCCTCGATCGACATAATCCCCAAGAAAAAGAAATGAAGCTGGTGTTAAAAATGGAGTCGCACGCCAGAATAACTGCTCATAACCAATGAGATCTTCGTAATTTCCATGAAGATCACCGAGAATATAAGTAGGAGATGATAATTTCAAGCAACGTGCTTCACCGTGAAAAATCGTTTTCACATCTTGACACAGACCAATGATGAATGGTGGTAAACGCTTGTATTGTTCCGTTGTCCATGGAGATGACTTGTTAAAACCACGTAACAAATCTTGAATAATCTTGGCATTGGTTTCCTGAAAGAGAAGGAATGGAATTGCTTGAATGACAACAGAAAAGTGGTCTGACTTTATTGAAGATTTCTGTCGATAATGAACGTGGTAAATTTTCCAGTGCTATTCGACTTGAGGATGAATGTGTAGTGTGGTAACTATCGAGCACAAGTAATGCTTTGCCTTGAAACAATTGGCCAGTTCTTTTCAAGGTGACAAAGTGATTGGCCAGTTCATGTTGGATCTTTTCGGGCACTGGAGCGGGCGATCGATTGTCCACTTGTCGACGAGATTCATTGGAAGAAAACCAATTGGCCATGTCGCCATCGAGAAGAAGCAATCTTGATGTTCCACGATATTCCTTTCGAAGAATCGTATTGACGAATCCCTCGAAATCGATTTGATCCGATCGAGGACGGAACTTTCTAAATGAAATTGCAATCGAATGCTTCAATTGACAAAGTTCTCTGTTTAGCTGAACGGACTCGAAAAGTTTGTTAATGTCAGGAACTGATGGAAAATGAAAGTTGTGTTCTTCAGTACCCGTGTTTTCAACATCTGTATTTAGATCCCTAGAAGAGAGAATGCTCGCATCGCAAATTTATCGATGATTCGAACCGAAATTCGTTCAGTGACAAGAATCCATCGTTTCTGTTGTTGTAAAACCGGAAGATATATGCACAACGGATGTGGCCCATCTTATCTAAATTACCTTCAGCGATCGAAGTGGATCGAAATCAGATCTCTACTGACCGTGACGATTCGTGTTTGGATGCATCGCTGCTAATCCTAAAATCAGAAGAGATCAAATATCTTCAACCTCACGTCATTCCATTATACCCAGAAGATAATTGTCATAATTTAAGTAGCCTGTCTTCCCAGCATCGAATGCTCGAAAATAAGAAGATAAACGAGCATTTTCCGTCGGACGTAATTTATTTCTGATCACTTGGCAAAACGTGTCGGAACTCATCCAATCACTTGGAAATGAATTGGAAAAAAATTCTTCACGAATCTTGAGTTCAACTAAAGAGAAACGAGCATGGAATGACAAGAAAATTCTTTGTTTCACCTTCCCAAACTGATGCAGCGTAATGAATGAGTAACGCTCGCAGTGAATCGTTGATTCGTTTACATGGCATATCAGGAAAAGCGCCGATGAATGGAGCACTCAACGGATATTCGGAATATCTGAGAAGCGTTTTTAAGAAAGAAACAGGTTCAGGACCGAGCAGTTTGCAAGATTTCATTTCTTTGAGATTCATCCAAATACCTTTGTCTTCCGTTGCCCGTGCCTCAACAAATCAATTTTTTCTTGGAATTTTTCTGTAAAGAAATGTCCTCACCGATCGGCCTTTGTAGAATAACCAGTAGGTTCGTCGATCTCCTAAAAATGGAAACGACTCGGAGGAACGAATTTTCACATGATCCGTTGCTTCTAAATCCACCGAAGTGCCCTAGATCAAATCAAGCCGTTCAGTGAAAGAAGAAACGATCAGTTGTCAAGAAACGAACTTGACGAGCGATTCGTTGAGCGATCGATACAGAATTTGGATTTTCATCGCGACGAATTTCACCGTATGGAAACCAAAAGTGATCAGATGAATTTTGTTTGATCAACAACAGACGTTGTTCATCTCGATCAAAAAGGATACAGATGATCCACGGCATCTGATCGTCGATGGCAAAAGAAATCAGCAATGAAAAACTAAGAATATGAATGAAGAGTCAAAAACCGAATACTTAGAAGAAAAACGATTTATTCACCGCATCTATCACATCAGATAAGGTTATGAGACAGTTGGAAACGATTTCAAAGAAAAAACAGAAGACTCATTTTTCGATCGGTCAAGAAGGAACAAATCGATGCACTTGAGTGAGAGACTGTTTTTTCTCAGATGGTTCGAGTCGTGCTTTGAGAACAAGTCGATATCTTCTCTGTTTGAAGACGATGACAGCGATCCTCACTAGAGAATTGATCGAGTTATTACAGAAAAAGTACAATCTTTGGCCACGGAGATGTGCTCCATTTCATTTTTCAACCTCTTTGAGCCATCTACTATTGGGAGAGCAGAGCCGAACACTTCCGTATCGAAATCTCCTGGGTAGAATCATGCATACTTTTCTCTTTCATCATCATCAGTTTTCAGGCCTGATCAATGAACGAATCTAAGTCATCCATCATGCTTCATTCTCTTGTCATTGTGTATTTTGTTTGTGAATCCTCACTGATCCTGATTATTGGAAGAATCGTCATTTCGAAAAATTAGAGCGATAAGCGAGGACCTGCCACTTCTCCGCAGCTTGATGCGCCTGCGTGTGTAGGTGGGTAAGGGTCTCACACCCTCACCCACATCTTTCATCAATCGCTTAATTGTATAATTACTAATAATTGTTTCCAATAATTATTTTCTCGTAATCTAATCGCATGAATAATATGTTTTTTGTAGACAATATAATACGAGTAACGTTCAACGGTAGTAGAGAACTGCAGCATAAGCAATTTTTGTGACCTATAAGCTGCCCCTACTCATGTTTTGACAAGTTTTACTCTACCCTGTCCTGAGCATATGGGTGGGTGTGTGGGAGCGATGTGGGTTTTGGGGATGTGGATGGGTGCGTGTGAGTGAGAAGAGACCCCGCACCTACACCACACCCACCTAGGCCCTCAAAATTGTGCGCCATAGCGGAAAAAGAGTTTTATATTTTAGAGTACCCATGCGTGAAATTTTTAGCTTAACGTTCTGTGTAACTTTGGGGTGTATGACCGAACGGTTCGGGAGTTCGATCCATTTGTTACCAAACCCGAACGTTCAGGTTCGGTGAATGCCTAAGCATAACTAATATATCATTCCATATATTTACAATTGGTTGTCGCAAAATAGTTATCACGCGTACTAGTGTTAAGTGAGAACTCACTTGAAGAATATATGAGTTACCAGATCGTTCAACTGATCTTCTCTGTTTTTCAGTTGTCAGGTGGCTCGTAACGTGTGAATTAAAATGAATATTTAAAAGTTCACTTCCGATATGAGCAAGAAATCTGAAATAGAAAAGTGCTATTTACAGTTTAATTTAAAGTACTTCATATAGAGAACAGTACTGAAAAATGATAGCAATATAATGCAAAGAACATCGAAACCTATCTTTGACATCATGACCGGTCTCTGTTAAAGCCCAACTGTGTGGCTACGTGATAGCCTACAAAATTATGCAGAACAACTCTCATCTGACAATGGGTTCAACATAAAACCGCTCAAATATTGCTTCAGTTTTGGCAATTTTTTATGAACTAAATATCTTTGATAACACACATCCATACCTGAACTTGCAATTCAGCGAAAACTATTCGAAAACAAGCTACGACTCTTTTTTACCATAAGCTCTAATCTTTGACTTACATGGAGTAAATACGATTTGTTTGTGAAATACAGTCTGTGCTGCAGGCTCAGTTCCACAAACAACTCGCTGGAACATCATGCATTCAATATATGGAAAGAGTAACGAATGTTAAATAATGCTCAACGTTCTGTCGCTGTGAAGATCAAATGAAATTCAGAGCTTCTATATATATGCGACAAATGCACACCACTTGGGCGATGATTTCGTCGGGTTTGAGGGGCGTGCACAAACAAATACAGAGGGAAAAAACGATTACAGCGTAGAAATGAAGCAAAATGAACTTCGAATTACTTTCGCTCTTGTTGGCAATGTAAGTGGGATGGGAAGGGCGAAAATTCTTTTTCTTTCAGAGAAATGTACATGACTTCTGCGAGAGTTGCGTACAGTCTGAAAAGAGTGCACAAACAAAGACACAGGGAAAAAAACCATTTGCAGAGCAGAATCAAAAGAAAATGAATTTTGATTTACTTTAGTTCTTGCTGGTGATGTATGTGAGATGGCAAGAGGCAACGGTTTTTTTTGGAGAGAAATGTGTAATGATAGGTTCCACCTCGTCCTAATAAGCGTACACCGATAGTCGAGCCTCCCGACACTAAAGTCCCCGACATTTGAGCCCCAGACATTTGAGCATCTCGATAGTTGAGCTCCGGACAATGCAGCCCGATATTTGAGACTTTTCCCGTCCGCCTTGTTAGCACTTACTCTCACCTCCTCACCCTCATTCACACCCTTATCTGCATCCTCATCTGTACCTCATTTACAGCGTTAGTCTGACTCTCATTCTTGGTCTCACTTTACTCTCATTCTGAGGAGCTACCAGGATTTATTTTTTATAGAGGATCTATTTATTAACTGAGGATTTATTGGGACTTATTAGCTGCATCAGTATTTCAGCGCATATTCATCCTTGCCCTTGCCACTACGCTCACCCTCAGTAAGCCTTCGCCTTCACCTTTACTCAGCTCTCATGCACAGTTATCATGAGGGATTTATTTCAAAATCTATAAGGATTTATTAAAAAATCCCAAAAAAAACAAATCTCGGTAGCTGCTGCTCTTGAGGGTGTGGGTGCGGATGGGTGTCGGTGTAGGTATGAATTAATACAACACAGACAAAACCAAATTCACACCCACACCTTAAGCATTTATCAGAGAGACGGGAGCTCGCAATGAATATGACAAGCAATGAGAGAAGACCCAAGATTATTAGCACTGACAGACATGATATTACTTCCGACAGCGAAAGTAACCATAACTTATTCGAATGTCTCACTATGATTTAGTCTTAAGTCACTTCAGTATTTCGAGTAATCTAGATTACTATGTACTTATAGATTGTAAAGATACTTGACGAGCAGGGCTGCCAAATCGAAATTTCAAAAATCAGGAGTTTACCAGGGAATTTTTACTGAAAAATCAGGAGAAAAATTAGAAGATGTTTATTGAAATCAGAAAATGAATTAGTGGTCTTCTCTCAAAGAAAACTGAAGTTTTCGTTCGTCTAATCACGCGTTATGTTCTTCTACTAAGTTACTGATGATAAAATTTCCTCTAAGTGATATATATTCTTAAAAAAACATAATTATGTGGAATTTATTTTACTATTCATTTCACAGTGGTTTATCAAAATATACCGACAAAATAGAAAATGAAGTTTAATTAGACATTAATATGTAACTAAACAAAATGGGCATACATGAACAATAATTTATTAACTATATCGTTCATGTCACTTTTGTAACATGACCATGAACGAAGGGGTCACAAGTCCTGAGTATGCTCGAGCCTACTCTAGGTTGGACAGCTAAAGGCTTAGGTAGACTCGTGAATGGAATAAATGAAGGCTTAGATAGCGTCTATTCGTAGATGATGGAATCACACGGCTTGAGTAGACTAAACTCTATCTTAGGTTCAGATTCCATAGACTATGGTACGCTCAAATAATTGTTTTCTACTACGTTAAATTGATAGGTTTGTGCAGTACATAAAAAATTTGAACAGACGTCAAGATTTTCTGTCGCTATCGACAACAAATAGCAACATTTATTGAAACAGACCTAGAAACTGTTTTTGAGAAAACTTTTAGTTTTGTGTGGCTAAATGTCAAATTTTGGGTCAGTCATGATTTAACCTGAGGTTCTTTCGTTAAAAGTGACGAAGTACTGCATAAAAAACCTGAATCATATTAGCTAGTAGCTGCCAAAGACTTTCATCATTTTTAGCGACTAAGTTTACATTACCCGATCATTAGTGTTATGAGAGCAACTTTTCTCGATTATTCTTTCTGTTCTCAGAAAAAAATTTGCTGTTCTCGCCCGTATATTCTCTTTCTCGGAAAATAGTTGTTATTCTTGTTCTTACACTCTTATTCCCAGAAAAAAATTTATTTTCACTTCCGTAAGCAGAAGCGTAAACCAGTTCATAGATCGGTGGTGTGTAAATATGATTTTATTTTTTTTTTATTTCGGTAGCGACTGAAAATACTCAATTTTTTTAGTCTGTCGGCGAAGGCGAGTGAATTTGTTGGACGATTTCTTTAAGGTTTTCTTATTTCCGAGAAATTATCGGATGAAAAATATGTAGGTAAATACGAGAAAAAATGCGGGAACACCAATACTTAATAGAGTTCCGATTGCCATAAGAAATGGAGCAAGAAAACGACGAGTATAGAAAAATATTCCCGCAGAAAAAATATCTTTTCAACACAATAAAAACATTCATAATGTAATGTCGTTTTTGTGAACATTGCTGCTTGGACATTATTTTATTTTTTAGCACAGCAGATGGAAAAGAATTCTTGTGAGAGTTGAACGTCAATGAAGATAATCATCGACATGTTTTCTTAAATGCACGTTTTTTGACACATAAGGTGCAAATGCTTTTCTTATCTCTATCAGCGTCATACATTACAAAATACGAGTTTGAAATGAGAAATACTAACTTTGTTTCATCAAGATGGCATCAAAAAAATTGGCTTACTCCATATTTTTAATTTTCTGGTGCGAATCTTGTAAAAAATTGTTGAGCCTACCCTAGATCCAAAACATTTCGCCACCTATGAACATGGCCATATTTTTCTAAAGACTGAATTTGTTTCAATAGGTTTGAATTATTTAAAAGATAATTATAGAACTTTGTATAACTGAGATGATTATTCATTTAGTTCCTAATTATGCACCAATAAGATTGCACTTCAAATCGTTTCTATTAGGAGCCCACAAAAATTTCATGTTGCTGAAGGTCAATTCATAAATAACATTCTAGGTTGAT